ATTTCGATCCTCTTCAGTGAGATTGATTTCTTTGATATGTTTGATGATGTATTTGGTTGGGTCTATGATGCCCATAGTGTCCATTGCCGGAGGTAGGATTTCGTGCTGCAAGTGGGATATGGGAGTATCAAGTTGCATTTGATTGGGGTCTGCCATTGATTCATGGGCTAGAAGTTTTTCTTTGAATGAGGGTGTTTTGTATATTTCTCCCTCCGAGTTAGCTAGAGTGGTGATGTCTGGTGACTTTGGAGGGATGTGTAGATCCAAATCTGTATCTGGGATTTGGGACATATTGGTCGTGGTCATTGTCTTATTGAAATAACCTTTTTAGTTAATCTCCTTAAATATTTACAAATTCTAGCTCTTAAATTTATGGCAAATTGTGGGGTGGGGGTGGGGGATTGTTTAATCATCAACTTCAGGAAAATGTCATTAAACCTTATCAACTGCATCAACAATAATTGTATTTGGCACTATGGATAGATAAAAAAAAATACTCGGCAAACACTACATCTTAGAAAAAATGTATCAAGCACCCAAAATATACCAAATTTAATAGAAACTACAAAGATTGGACCAGTTAATTTTTTCTCTCGCAAATAAATTTAACAACTACAATTTGTTAACTATTTGACGAAAACTAGAAGTGCTTGCTTTTGACAAACTTAGACGATTAAGATTGCCAAAAGTATACTTAAGGGACTATTTTAGACCCAACCCAAAAATAAGAGAATATTTTTGTCATTTCCTCAACAAAGAGTTTTGACTCTTAAGTATAAGTGATTTAAGACATTTATAACTATGACCTTTTTTATTTAATGATAGCTAGCGCTCCTTTATCCAAAAGGTATTCTGAATATGGAACTTGATGCATATACTATGTAATGTGTATTCGAAAATTAATTATTGATTTTTTTAATAAACTTTTGGATAAAGTATGCTAAATATTCCACATTATGACTCAATTTTAAACACATCTACTATAATAAAAAAAACAATAGAGTGAATAGTGATTTGTGAGTGATAGAAGGTGGAGGACAACACTCATAGCATGGAGAAAATAGATTTATGTTTTTGAAATTGTGATTTTTTCAATTTTATTAAGTAAAGTATCTAATTAAGTGCTCAATCTTCTGATGATTGGTTTCCATTATTTTTTTTTTTGGCAGGCTTGTGTTTAAAATTTTCAGTAGCGGTATACAAGAATATAATCATCATATTTGGAACTACGGAAAAGGGCCAAAAATTCCCCAAACCTATTAGAAATGGTTCAAAAATGCCCCTAATCCACCTTTTGGTCCAAAAATGTCACTAACATTTTCTTTAGTATCAAAATTGCCCCTTGAACTAACGTTTGACTTATTGGATGTGTGGGCCCTTTTTTAAATCCACGTGGCACTGCCCAATTGGTTAACATTGAGGATTAAAATTAATAAAAGTGTCAGTAAGAGTTCTTCCCATGGAAATCAGTAACAGCTGCTATTCGGCAATTAACTTGAAATTCCAGGGATAGAGACAACAAATTAAGGTTAAAAGATAGCTTTCTGATGGCCATTCTATATTCAGATTAGATACCTTATGGGTCATCTCATCTTTGGTGATGAAGCAACTCAATTTCTTGTATAGGATCAAATAATGCTTCTACTTCGCTGACATTGACAGCACAAGTAAAGCATTTCAGATTATTATACTAGCTAATTAATTAAAGAAGCAAAGAAAACGAAGAAACAGATAGTGCACTTGTTTTGTAAGAGATGATAATTAGTGAGGCCGATCTAATTTTTTCTATTTTTGAGGACCTACTGCTTGTTTTATTCATATAAGGTTTGCTTGGATAGGATTCTTGCTAATCTGGGCTCAATTCGTATCAGACATAGTGATGTCTTTTATGGTAAAAAAGAAAGGAAGATGAAGATGAAGATGAAGATGAAGATGAAGGATATTGGGTCTAATAAAAATATGGGTACCAGAATATGTAGGTCGAGTTTATGGGTTGGGTCTTATTAATTTTATTCCTCAATGTTAACCAACTGGACAGTGCCACATGGATTTTAAAAAGGGCCTACACATCCAATAAGTCAAACGTTAGTTCAAGGGGCAATTTTGATACTAAAGAAAACGTTAGTAGCATTTTTGGACCAAAAGGTAGATAAGGGGCATTTTTGAGCCATTTTCAATATATTAAGGGCATTTTTGGCCCTTTTCCATTGGAACTATTATTTACTTTCACCGTTCCACTTCCCTATTTAATTTTTTATAAATAAAACTTATGCTTGTCATGTTTGATTCTTCTAGTGCACGGGTGATTCACAATACAATGAAAGATAGAGGGAGAGAGAGGGAAAGAGGTGTTGGAAGCTCTTTTAGTCACCGCTTCCTCTATGGATAAATATAAAAAATAATATAAGAGGAACATAGTTGACTAATTTTGTAAAGTTTATAGGTAAATTTAAACTTTTTTTTTCTTTATATGTAACATTAAGTTGCAATTTAAAATGATCAATATATCACTTGAAGTTCTTACATTAGGGTGGGTAAGACTTGGGTTAAGACTATGGAAGGTGACTCGGAGCACTTTTCGGTTGTTGTAAGGTTGCACCAAGGGTTTGCATTCAACCCATTCTTTTTTGCCCTGGCGATGGATGCACTATACCATATTCAAGGGGATGTGTCATGGTGTATATTGTTCGCTGATTATATAGTTCTGATTGATAAGATGCGATGCGACATTAACGAGAGACTAGAGATTTGGAGATAGACCCTTGTGTCTAAAGGTTTCAAGTTGAGTAGGACTAAGAAAGAATATTTGGAGTGCAAGTTCAACGATGTGTCGGGGGAAGTTTCAAGTACTTTGGGTCAATTACCTCAGGGGGATTGGGAGATAGACGAGGATGTCACGCGACATATAGGAGTGGATGGGTGAAATGAAGGTTGGCATCCGGAGTCCTGTATGACAAAAAAGTGCCACCGAAACTTAAGGGCAAGTTTTATAGAGCGGTGGTTAGACCGACCATGTTGTAGCTAAGTGTTGGGCAGCCAATAATTCTCATATCCAAAAGATGAAAGTAGCAGAAATGAGGGTGTTGAGATGGATGTGTGAGCACACTAGGCTGGATAAGATTAGGAATGAAGATATTCAGGAGAAGGTAGACGTGGCTCCCACGGACGACAACTGTAGGAAGCGAGGGTTAGATGGTCACATATGGAGGAGAAGCTTAGATGCACCGGTTAGGAGGTGTGAGCAATTGTCATTGGCAGGTATGAGGAGAGGTAGAGCGCGACCTAAGAAGTATTGGGGTGAGGTGATGAGGCAAAACATGGCGCGACTTCAGATTTCCAAAGACATCGCTCTTGATAGGAAGGCGTGGAGGTCGAGCATTAGGATTATAGGTTATTAGGAGTAGGGTGTCAATGGTTCGGTTCGGCCAGTTATTTTATAAAATTTGTACCATACCAATTTTTCGGTTATTCTATTATGTATAACTAAAATTAGACTTTTCGAAACCATCTCAATCATGTCAGTTTCTCTTCGGTATCGGTACGGTTCAGTTAATTTTCGGTATTTTTTTAATATCATGTAAAATTTACCAGTAGAAGTAGAATTACAATAACATACGTTCTTTTATAGGACTTAGCAAAACTCTCTAGACATTTTTACTGTTTAAAGGGTGATGAATTAAAAAAAAAGTATGGCTAGAGTATAGATCCATCAACTATTCTACAACAGCGTAAAAGAAATCAAACAAAGGCAAAGAAAATATTAATTACACGAGTTGATAGATATACCAAGTTGGGACTCAAGAATAAAGTCTATAGAAGATTAAATATTTAAAAAGACAAATCTAAATTATATGACAGGAAACATATTCAATACATTGTAGTTTGCTACTCATAATCGCTAGAATACTTTGTGTCTTGCTAATAAAGATACTTGAAATAACTTAGTTTAAGTAGAAGTAGCATAATAGGTTTTAGGAATTAGTATTTTGAGTTTAATTACTTGTTGGCTTGTAATAGTTTTCATAATTCCAAGGCTCAAAGAAAATTTAATGCATTATTATTTTTAAACTTACTAAATAAATATATTTTCTACATGTAAAATTTATTCGGTACGGTTCAGTATTTTTTCGGTTTATTTTTATAAAATAAAAAAATTACCCTAATTATTGGTGCGGTTATATATTTATATAAAAACCTACGATTTCTTAAAAAGAAACCTAAAAATCGGTTCGGTGCGGTACGGTTCGGTCGGTTTAGTCGGTTTTCGAATATCCATTGACACCCCTAATTAGGAGGGAGTCGAGCAATTCTCTACTTTGTATCGGATGCGGGGCTACACTTATAGTGTTTCGCTTGGGATGTTAGTGGTTTATGTAGTTTCCACACTATTTTCGTTTTTTTAATTTTTCCCCCATAGTTCTATGGCATTATAACTGGTTATTGGTATTATTTTTCCATCTATTTTCTGTCTTTTACGATGTTGATATTATTTTTCTGGCTCTTGTTGTTGTCACTAATCTATTTTTTATTTTCGTCTTCTTGAGCCGAGGGTCTTTCGGAAACAACATTTCTACCCATGAAAGATAAGGTTTACGTATATTCTGCCCTCTCCATACTGGGTTGTTTTAATATATCACTTGAAGTTATGCTAAAAATGAATGACATACGTGATATGTTGCTAAAGTGAGATTCTTTTGAAGCTAAATTTGACCTTTGCATTTAATAGTTTGAACTGGCTTACGTATAAGGTCAAGCGCGGGAGTCGACCGTTGCAGAACCTTTTTCTATGTTGGAAATCTCAACCGTTCCCAACGCAAGCCGGTGGGACCAACTAAAATCGACGGCTAAGATCAATTATATTTACTATCAATACATGCAAATCTCTGGGGGAAATAAAAGAAAAAAGGAAAAAAACAAATTCAAATTTCAAAATTCAAACGGCCATTAAAGCTGCGACAATCCTCCCTTTTTTTCTCTCCCAAGCATAGTGTAGTGAATCCTCAAAGTGTGAGCCTTTTCTTCCACCATTTTCAGCTCTCTTTAACTAATGATTTGTCTCTTCAAAAGTCATCAAAGAGGAGCGTCTTCTTTGGACGATCAAAAGACAATAAATACTCATAGTGAAAAGATTTAATTTTTGTAGGTTTTTAGAGTAGTCAAAATTGAATTTTTAGTGAAACCCATTTAATTCTTCAGCTTATCCAAAAGCTTTATATAATGGGAAACTCTTGAACTTTTTGAGGTTTTACACATATCGAATTGAGTTTCTAGAGCTGAATATATGGTGGAAAAGTTTTAATTTTGAGCTCCACATTATGGTCTAGTTACTTTTCTGAGAAAACCCATATAAATCCTTCATTTTCCAAAGTTAATATGCAGTGGAAAAGTTTTAGTTTTGAGCTTCAAACTAAAGAAACCCATAATTAAGTTATTCAGGGTTTTGAGTATAAGGGGGTGGAATCTTTATAGTTATTCAGAATGGGGGAGGAAAAATCATCTGAGAATAGAGTGAAAGCTTCAAAATTTGGTGATCAAAATAAGGCACCGAAGGGTAGTAGTAATAATAGCAATGCAAAAGGGAATAGTAGTAATCTATCAAAGGTGAGATCTTCATGGGGTTCTCATATTGTGAGAGGTTTCTCAGGGGATAAAAAATCTAAGTTACATACCACAATTCATGCAAGGAAAGAGCCACTTTCTGTCAACGAAAACTCGAACCAAAAGAACTCTTCTGGGCTTTCTCAGTCAAGGGTGAAGAGGTCTTTAATGGGAGACTTGTCATGTTCAGCCACTTCCACTCAAGTTCATCCTCAAACAGTTAATATCCAAAGGGCTAAATCTTCTGGTTCGCGTGATCTATTCAATGAAATTGATCATTTGAGGAGCTTGTTACAAGAATCAAAGGGAAGGGAATTGAAGTTGCAGGCAGAGTTATCAGAATTCAAGAGGAGTCCAAAAGTTGTCGAGCTCGGGAGGGAACTGGAGTTGAAGAAGAGTGAGATTGATAGCTTTGTGAAGAAAGTTGAATTGCTGGAATGTGAAAAGGCAAGGCTTACTGATCAACTAGTTTCTTTGAGTGCTGCTCTAGAGAGGCAAGATGAGATATCCAATAGGGAAGAATTCAAAAGTGTGACTAGTTTGGAAATGGAGGTTGTGGAGTTGAGGCGCTTGAATAAGGAGCTCCAGCTTCAGAAAAGAGATATTGCTTGTAGGCTTTCTGAGGTACTTTGACTGCTTTGTCTATAAAATTATTCAGTTTTCATTTCAGTTTTGAAATCTTGAACTTGCAAAACCTTGATAAAGTGGCCATAGATGTCTTTCATGCATAGTTTTCTCTAGTAGTTTGTTAGTGAAATACTGAAAAATGTGGTTCAAACTTTATCTTGTATTTTCATGCATAGTGCAGGAAAAAATGAATTTGTACAACAATTGAAATTGGTTGGCTTGATTATATCTTGTTTCTCTTTGTTTCATTTTATTCTTATTAGGGGGAAACAATTGAGAATATTAAAGCAGAGGCTTCTTTGTTGAGACACACAAATGAAAACCTTTGCAAACAAGTTGAGGGTCTTCAAATGAATAGATTGAATGAGGTTGAGGAGCTTGCCTACTTAAGGTGGGTGAACTCATGTTTGCGTGAAGAATTGCGCAATTGCTCGTCCACGACTTGTGATAAGACTTGTAGTCCTCAAGGCAGTGAGAAAAGTAGGGAATCACTTTGCTTGTCTTATGATCATAGTGATGAGGACTCAAAATATAGTAGCAGCGCTAGGAGGTTAAGCCTTGTTAAGAAGCTAAAGAAATGGCCTATTACCGATGAAGATATGCAACTAGTTGATAGCCCAGATAATACCATTAATCATAGTTGGGAGGATACACAAAGTTCTACTCGCAGGCACTCGATAAGTGGATCAAAATTTTATCTAGAGGACTTGATATATAGTAATAAGAGAAGACAATCTGATGGTTTTATGTGTTCCAAGGAAGTGGAGAAGGAGATTGAGCCTCTTGTTTCCCAACATAAATTAACCACCAACCCTTTGGAGGTGGTTGAGAAACGTGTCTTGCGAATTCCTAATCCTCCTCCAAGGCCTTCATCTGTTGCTTTAAGTGCAACAGAAGGAGAAAATTGTGTTCAAGTTCCTGTTCCTCCACCACCTCCCCCTCCTCCGCCACCTCCTCCAAAACTCGTGGCAAAAACTACAACGGGCACGGTGCAGAGAGCTCCTCAAGTAGTAGAGTTTTATCATTCATTAATGAAGAGAGATTCTAGGAAGGATTCATTAAATGGAGGAGCATGTGATCCCTCAAGTGTTGCAGACGTTCGTAGTAGCATGATCGGCGAAATTGAGAACAGATCATCTTATTTGCTGGCTGTGAGTTCTTTCTGCCTGCTCTTATCATACTATTATTGTCAATATCAATGATCACTAAATTGCACTATAATGACTCAAGATGTCCCAGAACACTTTCCTTGTCCTCCTTAACCATTTATATGATCCATATATGAGGAACTATTTGGATTTTTCCCAAATATTTTCCATTTCAGTCTCTGGACTTTATTTTTCTCCTGATTGCATGTTATTGTTCCACTTGTAGATAAAGGAAGACGTGGAGACCCAAGCAGAATTTGTGAATTCCCTGATAGCAGAGGTCAACCATGCAGTTTTTGCGGATATTGAAGACATAGTTGCTTTTGTGAAATGGCTAGATGATGAACTTTGCTTTCTGGTGAGAATACATTTTGAAATCTTTATTGACTCTAACAATGAAGATACGGTTTCTATTGTCTCATTTTGGAAAAACTTAGGATCATTCAATTGAAAATGAAGAAAAGAATCTTAGAAGAGTCCCGTTTCGGTCCTAGTTTATTTCACTTTAGTGACATCCAATTCAGTAATCATTTACGAACTGAATCCAGTGTACTTAAATGGCAGTTCCAAGAAAATTCGGCCAATATTGAGGTGCTTTATCTGATACATGTCATATATTAAGTTGGAGGTGCAGCTTATAATTTACTGCTAAATTTTGATCATTACGCTTGCGCTGTTTTGAAGGTGGACGAAAGGGCAGTGCTAAAGCACTTCGACTGGCCCGAGAGAAAAGCAGATACACTAAGGGAGGCAGCTTTTGGATATAAAGATCTTAAGAAGTTGGAGAACGAAGTTTCAAGTTACAAGGACGATCCTCAATTGCCATGTGATATTGCACTAAAGAAGATGGTTTCTTTGTCAGAGAAGTAAGACCTCAAGCTTTGTTTGTAATGTCAGATATGTTATGTTTTGCTCCTTGTCTTTCTGCCTGGAAAGTTTAATACTGATTTTTTTATCTGGTTCAAATTTTATCTTCAAATCACAGGATGGAGCGTAGTGTCTATAACCTTCATCGAACAAGAGACTCATTGATGCGTCATTGCAAAGAGTTCAAAATCCCCGCAGACTGGATGCTTGATAATGGGATACTAAGCAAGGTTCGGCTATTTCATTGTTCGTTTCTTGCTGTTTCCAAATACACAGTCTTGGGTAGATTTAGGTATTCAAATGGTGATAGAGCTTGATTTGAGTAGCCGATAAGATATAACCATTATCAATTAGGTTGCTGAACTGTTTAAGGCATTGTATATGGTTCACCATAGAAGGGAATCCAAACTTTAGGGGAATATGACAAGTGATTTTCTGCCTCCTAGATCTTGTAAGTGTCTTATATGATGATATGGGACAGATGACAAGTTTCAAGATTGCAGATTATCTTATACTACATTCTTTTGCGCCATTTTGAACGTCCAACATTTCAATATTGTAGTTGCTCATATTTGTGCAGTGACCTTTCTTGCATATGTGCATGTCCTCCTTTATAGAATGTTCAATACTTTTTTTCTTGTCAATATGTGTAGTTGTCATTTTGCTGTAGACTTAGTTTTAAAAGAAATTATGCAGATTAAGTTTGGCTCAGTGAAGTTGGCCAAGATGTACATGAAGAGGGTAGCTGCGGAGCTTCAGTCAAAGGGACCATTAGATAAAGACACTTCTATGGACTACATGCTACTCCAAGGAGTGAGATTTGCCTTCCGAATTCATCAGGTTTGTGTTGTAATCGTAGTAAATACTGGCTTTACATTTTCTCCTACCATGATCTTTCACTTTCTCCCTTCCGAATTCATCAGAAGATTGCTAATTCTGCAACAAAGAGAAATAGGAGTACTTAAAAGGGATGAACTCTATGTATAGCAATTGATAACCAAGATTACTACTGATGAAGAATGGATTGGTGGACTGCACTGGTCTTTTTACAAGTTGTTCAAAATGTCATATCTTAGTTTATCTTGTCTTCATTGGTACAGTTTGCGGGAGGATTTGATGCAGAAACTATGCAAGCCTTTGAGGAGCTCAGGGACTTAGCACTTGCTTTGAACAAGAAGTAGAAGATAGACTTAGTGAATAAGTATAATTTTGCCAGAGGGCTTACCATCTCAGTAACCATCAATTTAAGTAATCATATATGTAGGAAACACCAATGATATTCCTTATCATTGGTTACTGGTTTTTTTTTTGTTTTTAATTTTTGATTTGGGTGGGATTCACTCTTGACTAGTGAGCTAAGTTTCGCTTGGAAGCAGGAAGATCTCAAGTTATTGGTATAGTATGTGTTCAAAGCTTGGTGAAAAAGCAGTATGCAAGTTTCTATCAATACTTGACAAGTTTTAAAATGTTTCTATCCTTTGAGTTCTCTAAACATTGACGCAAACACATGGTAGACTAAAAGAGTTGGTCTTAGACTTGGCCAAGACTCAACTAGGAGGTTGTTACTCAAATTAAGGATGGAGGAAGAGATACATTTTATTTGAAACTTGAAAGTGACAAACATAAATATTATTAACATCGTAGTAACTTTTTAAATCATTTACGTATATTAGAGGTAAAAGTGTGATTTCTGAAAACCAATGTTCTAAGTGAGATACATACATTAATGGTATCTCTACACGCATAGCCGGCCAAATTCGCCAATTACTTTTTCTAGCCGATTTACATAAGTTATTCACTAATTATATAATTAAACATATATTATACATGAGTTATACGTATATTATATATTCGTCGTCTATATTTAGTTTAATCACTCAAGTAAATGGCTATTTAGGTTAATTCTTCATCTATTATTGTTGAGTTTTTAAGATAAAATAGGCTTAAAAGAGGGTCAAGTAAATTTCATTTGAGATTCCCTCATTGACAAATGGACATTGTCTCATATTGGAAGAGGAAAATATTTTTGATGGATATATATACAACTGCTTTTCTTCTAGCTCTTAAAGAGTTAAAAAGAAGGCAAACCTCAGGCCGTCGTCGTCGCTTGCTTCGGCTTCGGTCAAATGATCGATTGATTGATTAATTTTTTGGACTATTTTTTTTAATAGTAAATATTAACGTAATATTATTAAATCCGGACGTCCGTTTTCCGTTTTTTATAACGGAAAATTAAGTTCCCCTCCCGTCCGTTGAAATGGAAGAATAAGGTTTGAATTCCCGTTTTATTGTGGTCATGATAGCCCTTCCGAAGAGTCTCAACATATTGGCTATATATATCAGATCATTCTCTCAGATTTTCTATACGAATTTCTGAGTTCTTCTCCTTTCTTCTGTATTGTTTTAATTACTAAGCAACAGTAAGTGTGATTTGATACTGATCTTTGTGTTCGCTGAAACACTGGGGTTTGAAGTACCGCTACACAAGTGTGTAATTCGTTCTATCCTAGGAGGAAATAATACACAACCTTGGGTACTAGGAGGGGATTAAATTCCTAAAGGAAACATTGTGAACTCAGTGGGCTCGGATTAAATTTTATTTCTGTTTTTCATTTATGTTTATACGTTATTTTTATATTCTTCAGAATTATTTTACAAATACAGTATACTAACAAGCTTAAGAAATTTTAATTATTTTTGTATTTGTGTTATATTCACTATTCTGGAGACTAAAATGTTTGTGATTTTCTACTATGTTGGACATTAAAATTTACGTGATTTTAACGTTTGTTTGTGTCATTCTTTTACAGAAATGACGAATGACAACGGGAACCAGACTGTTCCTATGGTGACTGCCATTGCATCGACAAGCCGAACAACACCGGCATTGGCACCGACAGAAAAAACCGAAAAATTTTCGGGATTGAATTTAAGCGGTGGCAGCAGAAGATGTTCTTCTACTTGACTACTTTAAGTCTACAGAAGTTCATTAAGGAAGATGTTCCTGTTATGGCCGATGAAACTCCAGAGCATGAACGCTTTCTCGTGATTGAGGCGTGGAAGCATTCTAATTTTATGTGAAAGAATTATATTCTTAGAGGACTAGATGACGATCTGTATAATGTCTATAATAGTGTGGAGACGTCAAAAGAACTGTGGATTACGCTTGAAAGGAAATACAAAACTGAAGATGTCGGGTTGAATAAATTCGTTGCCGCTAAATTTTTGGACTACAAAATGGTAGATAGCAAGTCTGTTATTACCCAAGTCCAGGAATTGCAAGTGATTATTCACGATCTCCTTGTTGAAGGTATAAGTAGAATTAATACTAATGTTGATAGTATTAATTTTATTATGTTTACCAACAGAATTTTCATTGAAGGTCTTGTCATTAATGAAGCTTTCCAAGTAGCAGCGATAATTGAGAAGTTGCGTCATTTGTGGAAGGACTTCAAAAACTACTTGAAACACAAACGCAAGGAGATGTCGCTTGAAGATCTCATTGTTCGGTTGAGAATCGAAGAGGACAGCAAAGCTGCTGAAAAGAGAGGTTATGGAAACTCAACAATAATGGGAGCAAACATTGTTGAGAATACTCCTCAAAATAAGAGAAAGAGGAAGCAGGCTTCTTGACCGAAAAGCAACCCAAGCAAGAAGAGGTTCAATGGAAATTTCTACAACTGTGGAAATTTGGACACAAATCTACATATTATCGTGCTCCGAAGAAAGACAAGAAGAAGGGTCAAGCAAACATGGTTGAAAAGAACGAAGATGTTGATGACTTGTGTGCTATGCTTTCTGAATGCAACCTGGTGGGAAATCCTAAGAAGTGGTGAATTGATTCTAGAGCCACTCGCCATGTTTGTACCATTAGAGAAGCATTTGCTACATATGCTCCCGTTGGACCCAAAGAGACGCTTTCTATGGGAAATTCTGCAACTGTCAAAATTGAAAGATGTGGAAAGGTATTTCTGAAAATGACTTTTGGTAAGGTGGTGACTCTAAACAACGTCCTTCATGTTCCCGAGATTAGAAAGAACTTAGTCTCTGCTAGACTTCTTGTTAAGAACGAGTTTAAATGTGTCTTTGTATCTGATAAGATTGTAATAAGTAAGAATGATATGTTTGTAGGAAAAGGTTACCTCACTGAGGGCCTTTTCAAGCTAAACGTAATGGTTGTTGAGAATAATAATAAAATTTCAGCTTCTTCTGACTTACTTGAGTCAAATGATTTATGGCATATACGTTTGGGTCATGTCAATTATAAAACCTTGTGGAAAATGATTAACTTGGAAGTATTGCCTAAGTTTGAATGCGAAAAATCAAAATGACAAATATGTGTGGAATCTAAGTATGTTAAACATCCTTATAAGTCAGTTGAAAGGAATTCAAATCCTTTAGACTTAATTCACACAGATATTTGCGACATGAAGTCAATATCATCTCGTGGTGGAAAGAAGTATTTCATAACTTTTATTGACAACAATACTCGATATTGCTATATTTACTTACTTAATACTCCCTCTGTTCCAATTTATGTGAACCTGTTTGACTGGGCACGGAGTTTAAGTAAAAAATGAAGACTTTTGGAATTTGTGGTCCTAAACAAGTCTAAATGGGGCCCAGAGTATTTGTATGGTTATAAAAGCTTCTCATTAAGGGTAAAGTTGTAACTTTAAGCTAAATTGTTACCAAATTTAGAAAAGGTTCATTCTTTTTGGAACGGACCAAAAAGGAAATAGGTTCACATAAACTGGAACAGAGGGAGTAGTAAAGATGAAGCAATAGACACATTCAAGCAATACAAAAATGAAGTTGAAATACAACTTAACAGGAAAATCAAAATGATAAGAAGTGACATGGGTGGTGAATATGAATCTCCTTTTGAAGAAATATGTTTAGAATATGAAATTATTCATCAAACAACGGCCCCTTACACACCTCAATCCAATGGAATTGCAAAAAGAAAGAATCGTTCATTAAAGAAGATAATGAACGCATTGTTGATAAGTTCTGGTTTACCAGAGAACTTGTGGGGGGAAGCTGTTCTTACGGCTAACCGGATACTAAATCGAGTACCCCATAGCAAAACACAATCCATTCCATATGAAAAATGGAAAGGAAGGAAGTCCAACTTGAATTATTTTAAAGTGTGTGGGTGTTTGGCAAAAGTGCAAGTTCCTAAACCGAAAAGGGTAAAAGTAGGACCGAAAACCGTTGATTGTGTTTTCATAGGATATGCGACCAATAGTAAGTCATACTGATTTCCGGTTCATAAATCAAAAAATCCCAATATTCATAATAATACGATTATATAGTCAGATAATGCTGAGTTCTTTGAAAATATATGTCCGTATAAAAAGGAATGTGAGTCGATTGGTGAAGAATCTAAACGACCTCAGGAAGAAACAAAAGAAAGTACATTTAATCAGGAGGATCCAAGACATAGTAAATGTTAAAGAACGTCTACTTTATTTGGACAAGATTTTGTGACTTTCTTATTGGATAATGAGCCTCGAACATTTAAAGAAGCTATGTCTTCTTCGGAATTATTGTTTTGGAAAGAGGCAGTCAATAGTGAAATAGAATCCATATTAACCAACCATGCATGGGAATTGATTGATCTTCCTCCTGGAAATAAACATTTGGGTTCTAAATGGATTTTTAAGAGGAAAATGAAATATGATGGCACTATTGGTAAATTTAAGGCAAGACTTGTAGTCAAAGGGTATAGACAACGAGAAGGTCTTGACTACTTTGATACATACTCTCCAGTTATAAAAATTACACCATACAGATGTTAGTAGCATTAGTTGCAGTGTATGATCTTGAAATTCATCAAATGGAACAACCTGAAGGGTTTGTGGTTCCAAGTAAAGAAAAGAAGGTATGTAGACTTGTTAAGTCCCTTTACGGACTAAAATAATCACCCAAACAATGGTATGCAAAATTTGACCAAACAATATTGTCAAATAATTTTATGATAAATAAATAGGATAAATGTGTATACATTAAAAATGTTCCAAATCACATAGTCATTGTTTGCTTATATATGGATGATATGCTGATAATGAGTAATGATATTGTCAACATAAATACGACTAAGCGTATGCTAACTAGCAAGTTTGATATGAAGGACTTGGGAGTTGTTGATTTAATTCTGGAGATTAAGATCCATAAGACTCCTAAAGGTCTGGCATTGTCACAAGCTCATTATATTAAGACAATACTTGAAAAATTCAAGCACTTAGGGTTTAAAGTTGCAAAGACTCCAATTGGCGTGAATTTTGCATTGGCAAAGAACAAAGGCCAAAGCATATCACAATTGGATTATGCTCGTATGTTTGAATGCTTAATGTATATCATGAATTGTACACGATCAGATATAGCTTGTACTATAAGTAAATTGAGTCGATACACGAGCAATCCAGGTCAGTCTCATTGGATGGCAACGAAACAAGTTTTGGGATATTTACAACATATTCAGGACTTTGCTTTGCACTACAGTAAATATCCTGCGGTGATTGAGGGATACTGTGATGCAAATTAGTGACCGGTTCAACTGATTCTAAGCCACGACTGGATATCTATTCACTATTGGTGGAGGAGCGGTATCTTGGAAGTCGTCCAAACAAACTTGTATTGCCCGCTCTACAATGGAGCCTGAGTTCATAATCTTAGATAAAGCCGGTGAAGAAACTGAATGGCTCAAGGAATTTCTTGGAAGACATTCCATTTTGGCCCAAACCATTGGCACCAATATGCATACATTGCGATAGTCAAGCGACAATTGGAAGAGCGTTATGTATAACGGTAAATCTCGTCATATACGAGGAAGACATAAAACTGTTAGACAACTACTCTCTAGAGTAATTATCACGATTAACTACGTGGAGTCAAGTGATAATGTGTCGAATCCACTAACAAAAGGCCTAACTAGAGAGGTAGTTGAGAAATCATTGAGGGGAATGAGACTATGACCGAGAACAAGTCATTGTGGCGGTAACTCTACCTAAAAGACTGGAGATCCCAAGCTCTAGGTTCAAGGAGATCAAACAAAGCCATTAATGATGGTTCAACATTGTCACCTAAAATTTTGGTCCATTCTCGTGATGAGACAATGTTAATTACCAAGGATAAAGCATTAAAGCTTTTTAATAATTTCTAAATTTGATACGGGGTACATCAAATAGTGTATCTATGGGATGTCACGTTTAGGAATCACCTATGTAAGTGTGAATTGTTAGCCGTTTCAAGAAGAATTTTGTAAGGCGAGTTCTCTACGCACTTATGAAACCAGGTTGTGTTCATGGCTGAAACGAACACAACAATGAGAACCAAAAACGGTTAAGGGTTGGTTGTGTGACATATGATTGTCTAGGTATACACCAAAGTTCAATGGTTCAAAGATATCAAATCTACCGATTGACCGAGTATATTCGACATAAGTTCACTACGGAAAGTTCAAAGGGAAACCTACTTATGCAGATGCAATTAATCCTTGCTTGTGAATCACACAATTTTTCATGCATATTTCCGTAATATAGCCATCTCCCATTCATGTGGGGATCGTTGAGTTTTAAAGCTAAAATATGCTTAAAAGAGGGTGAATGGAAAATGGAGGAAAAATAAAATATTTGAGTTTCATTTGAGATTCCCTCCTTGACAAAGGGACACCGTCGTCGTCGTCGCTCGGCTCGACTTTGGCTTCGGATTCGGCTTCGAATTCGGCTTCGGTCAAATAATTAATCGATTAATTTTTTGGACCAAATTTATTTTTCAATAGTAAATATTAACGTAATATTATTAATTATCCGGTTTTTGTAAACGGAAAATTAATATTAAATCCAAATTATTTGTTTCCTCAACGCCCGTTTTCCGTTTTTTGTAACGAAAAATTAAGTTCCCTTCCCCTCCGTTTTCTGTTTTTGTAACGGAAGAATAAGGTTTGAATTCCCGTTTTATTGATACGTAAATAACCATTTACGTTATGGCCGTTTTGCTTAAACTGTCATGATAGCCCTTCTGAAGAGTCTCAACATATTGGCTATATATATTAGATCATTTTCTCAGATTTTCCATACGAATTTCTAAGTTCTCCCTCTTTCTTCTATATTGTTTTATCTACTAAGCAACAATAAGTGTGATTTGCTACTGATATTTGTGTTCGCTGAAACACTGGGGTTTGAAGTACCGCTACACCAGTGTGTAATTCGTTCTATCCTGGGAGGAAATAATCCACAACCTTGGGTACTAGGAGGGGATTAAATTCCTTAAGAAAACACTGTGAATTCAGTGGGCTCAGATTAAATTTTGTTTCTGTTTTTCATTTCTATTTATACGTTATTTTTATATTCTCCAAAATTATTTTACAAATACAATATACTAACAATTACTCCCTACTCCAACAATGTTAAGCGTCCTTTTATATTTCCAGCAATTTTAGCAAAATGAATTTTTTTTGGATCTGTTTGACTATTCCTCCTACGTAACTAAAGTATCATCAAGAATTATGTCTACGAACTCAGAGTTAACCATAATCTAAAAAATATTAAGAAGTTGTGAGATATAAAAAGGTATGTTCATAAAACATTCTTGAAGAATCAAGTAAACGAAAAATGACCCCTTTAAATTTGGTATAATCATTAGTTGGTCAATTTGACAAAAAAGATCAAAAGAATAAGAAAATGATCAATTCATTTGCTTTTAAGAAAATTATTACTATTATAAAAATAAGAAATACTGATTAACTGCATGTAGGTAATATGCCCTTAAATGGCTATAAAGCTACGGAAAGAAATGCAAAGTACAAAATTAATTGATACTGTAAAAAATGGAAAAAATCAAAAGGTAAAATTAAAATGAACAAAAGAATATATTTTGCTTATTCCAAAACAATTACGTAATTTCCTTTTAAATACTTTTAACATTTCTCCCGGTAATTATGATCATAATTTGTTGTATGAGGGTGTAAAGTGTCCAACACAAACTTCAGGGGTCACCGAGTAACAAAAGTTTATTATGGGGGGAGTTATAAAAGGCTGAAAATATGTTTCCTTGCTCAACTGTTTTGTATGCTTATACAAACAGCTGCAATAGCGGAATCCACAATGCCTACGAAGACACTGCGATGTCGCTACTTTGGCATCCTTTTCTGTATTTCGTACTATTTACCGTCCAATTCTCTTTGTCCAAATCTATCGGCAATTTCCTTTCGCTCTATTATGTATTTTCTATTTGACAGACTTCTGCAGTACTTTCTCAATACATCATCCTTTCTCCAATGGCACAACTTCGAAAGGTGAGAAATATTCCTTTCCATCTACTTCTTTAACTCAAAGTTCAATTATTATTTGGAATATTTTTCACGAGAATAACTTCAGCTTCATCTCTTTGACTCTTCATTTTATTGCTTGATCATAGCTAAAGTAACTTGATATTATACCATCTGATTGCCACTTTTTGTACCGCTAACCAACAGCTTCCAATATCTTCAGATTCATTGCAATACTTCTGCTTTTACTTGGATTAACTTCTTCTTTTTAATGGTTCACTCTTTGGCTGGTCTAGAAAATTAATTATTTTGACCTTAAGGATCGGAATATTGCTGGCGCTCATGCTTTAGATGCTCTTTCCATAAACCACATCGCTGTCCCAATACGTTATAGTCAAATTAAGGCATAATTGTTAAAATTCCTGGAATTACTTCTAATATAAATGAAAATAGAGTTTAGTGCTCCGTTGATTTTTGTATTATCATATTCAGTTATCCAAACAGTGATGTAGAAAAGGCCTGTAATGTGTGATTTTGCAGTGTAACTCCAATCGACATACCTGATCAAGCGTGTATCTGTGGTCTTGCTGGACCTGACGAAAAACATGCTTATAGCTGCATTAGTACTTTTATTACATCTTTCTGGTCTACTTTCAGGAAAAATATACACGTGCCAGAGATGACCCTTTTTTCGATGGCATGCGAAGAGGTGAGGCAGCAGTCATCAGCAAAGGAAGTGGTCTAGACATTCATAGAAAAGCCACAAAGAATGACATAACGAGGTCGGCCTCGGATGTTGGTAAACGAGGACAGAAAAAGATTCATGTGGAATTATCTGGAAATGATGCTTATTATGATAGAAATTTTACTAATTCAGATTCAGAAAGTATTCATGAACCTCTTGGTCGGTCATTCTCTGCGAGGTCATCAGCAGCTTCCACGATGAGTTCCTCCCCTTTGGGAAGTCCTCGGTCTGGCTTGAAGTTTGATTTGCATGATATAGATGAGTCTACCATGCAGTCTAGTCAAAGATCATTTGAAGCAAATGGAGAGTACTATTTTCCTAGTGGCTTACATTTGCCTGCCTATGAAAGATCTTATAGCGTGACCAAGAGATGTACATCTATCTCCGACATTCCACTTCCTCAATCGGCAGCATTGTTCTACTGTGGATATTCACCGCAGCTGGAAGTTGTTGGATCATGTCAAGGAATTCACAGGCTGAATATTTTTCTGAAGGCAAGAAGAGATGATGTTAGTGCAGGAGTTCCATCAAGATTCTTGCATGCAGTGATTGGCCCAGACTGCTGCGGTAACCTCCATGAACCATTCATTCTCTAACTTAGAATTGCCTCCTTAGTAACCAGCTTCTGTAATTTCATTTAAGTTTAGCATGTTGCAATGTCTCGAAATAGTCCATGGATAAATAAACGATTCTCAAGTTTGTAGTTTATCAGCATCCAACATATTCCTAAAGTATACACCGAGTTAAATTGGTCTTAATTTCATATCCAAAACTGTCCTCATTAGGGCTTAGAAGATCATCTCGAGAGGAGTGTTCATGATAGATATGTACTGTATGTCCTTTGAAGTTTGATTTGAAAGTTAAGAATTTTGAGAGTACATTTAAGCTGTGGTTTGAAAGTGAAAAAAATATAAAGTTCAAGGTCTCAGGAAAGTGGTAAGAGTGCTGGAGATGAGGGGAAGTAAACAGAGAAGGCCAGAATGGATGGTGGACCATAGATATATGGCTATCATGGCAGCATCTTTAACTTGTCTTGTGGTAGAGAGATTGAAACTACAAATGGCATGGTAAATCATCAGATAATCATGAAATTTTTTCCTTCATTTTGTTTTATATTTGATACTAGATAGAGCCCCATAAATGTTGGTCACCCAATTGAAATATGCTAGTTTTAAGAATACTTGTGCATAAAGAGTTGTATTCATGAATAAAGTAAATCAACAAAGGAGAATCAGTTGTTATTTGATTTGAAAAGCTAAGTAGCAAGCAGAGTACAATAGTCTGAAAGTGTTAAGCCTTAGATGATTCTACATTTTCTTTTTCAAGGATAGTTAACTAGTTACTCGTGAACTGGATTTGTACAACATGATCCAATTTATGTTTTGACTCATGAGCAGTATCCTAACATTTCTTGCTATCAGTCCCCAAAATTTGAAGAGTTACTGACATGATATATCTTCTATTTAAAGTTAAAGATTGTTTTCTCCAGTTACCGACTTGGTTTAAGAATCTCAGAGAGAGGTTGAGGATCCTCACGTTACTGATGATGCATGAATTCTATTGGAACAAATATCTTGATGTTTGATACTTTGATTCTACTTAAACAGGGCCAAACTATACAAATACTAAAGCAACGGATACTTGTAGGAGTAGATAAAGTATCATAATGAATGATAATTTCCATACAATTATGGAGCCATGATGTCTCCAATTGAAAACATGAGCTACATAAAATGAGTGGATAATCCAATAGAGTAGAAGCTTCTGGAAAAGGTTGCGAATGGCCTAAGCCTACAGTTAAAGAACGTAGATCCTAGTAAATCACTTTTGATTTTACAATTTGTTTTTTTAGTATATATATTGCTCAGAAATTGTAATCGCATAAGTATTTCTGGTTGTTTATGTTTAAGGAGAAATGCACCATCTCCTTTGCCACGTGTAAAGATTTTGCAAATTGTTCAAGGTCACGGGTTCAAGCCGTGGAAGCAGCCAATAATGCTTGCATTAGGTAGGCTGTCTATATCACACCCCTAGGGTGCGGCCATTCCCGCACCCTGCATAAATACGGGATGCTTTGTGCACCGGGCTGCCCCTTTTTCAAGTTTAAGCTTCCTCTTTCATTGAATAGCACCTTATAGGACCAGAAGTATATAGGTTGTATACTCAGACAAAAGAGGTGCTCACCTTATATAGTCCTTTGGCAATTATTGAGAAATACTTGCTTCGTTTAATTTATCAATTGCAGCACAGAAGGAAAAGTCCTTATTTAGAGAACAATCAGTAGCTTGAACATTCAATGCGCGTCTGTGATCATTTGTAACAACCTGCATCTTACATTGGTCGACTTTAATCGTATGTTTTTTTTGCCATCTGGATGCAGATATTGCATCTGTTGCTTCAACCATAATGTATGCTTTTTACTTGAATGAAACATTAAATGACAACCAGTTATGCATTGTGCCTGTCATAAACACGAAGAGGTCGGACATTCATTCTCATGCTGAGCTCAGATGGCTACTTGATTCTTGCTTTCTTGATAAATCTTCCTTGATTTTTATTGATGAGGTATGTTCCATTCTATATGCAAAGTTAATGAAAGGAAATGAGACTGTAGTCTAAATTCTCTAGACTTAGGTCCACATAGTAAATGAAATTCCAGGAACGTCATCCAAACAACTGATCTGCTTTCCTTGGAAAGTTTGAAGATCTTGTCTTTTACTCAAACAAAAAAAAAAGTCTCTACTTTCTGCTATACTCTAAATATGGACATACTACTTGGTTCTTATTCAATTGATAGCTTGATAATTTTTATGTCTCAAAAGTTTTAATTATGTTCTCTTCGTTAAACTTTCAACAGATTGATCTTTCCTACTACGATTTATATGGGAGTCTTAAACTTGTTTTAGTCAACCAAAGCAAGCTTCCAGCTAATCAGGAGGTAAGTGCTTTGTTTCAAGTGTGCTGATTTGCTATTAATCAGTTGAATAATGATTAGTTGCTGCTTACTGGAACAGGCATTAAAGGATGCAGTGGTTGAAATTTTTAATTGCAGAGAGGTTCTTTTTATTTCGGTTTCTTTTTTCTATTTCTCCATTATATTTTGACTATGTCAAGTAGTAAAGTCTGTTAAATAGAGTGAGGCTATGCTCTGACCTTTTCTGTTTAAGCAGGAAAATACACCTTATTCTTCAGTTGGTTCTATCACCCTTGGGAAGGTATTTTCCTCATTTCCATAAGAAATATAGGGGAAAATCGACATACCAATAAATGTTATTTTCCTTGATTTGTCTTCTATGTTCTAAAAACACTATTTTCATACGTTTAACAGCTCTTGATCTTAAATTGGTTAACGGAGACTAGTCACTAAATTCGACTTCGTAAATATTTATGCAAATGCTTTATTTGGTGGAAGTTTGACTTAGTCCAGTGTAGCTTGTGCTCCAAAAAATTTAAGAACAACTAGAGAAATATTACAGCAAGATTTTACGGATGTTGGAGAAAGTTAGGCCTTGGCAACCCTCACCTCATGAGCTAGCTTTCGATGTTGAGTTAGGCCTAAGGGTCATTTTATTTACACAATCAAACTTGCTGCCGGGAGCCAAATGATTGTTCTTACTTCTACTTGACGTATTTTATGTACTAATTTATTTATTGTAGGAGGCATCATGCTGCACACTTATTGCTGACAAGTTTGCATGCACTTCACCAGAGATACTGGCAGGTCAAGGGTTCAGTCGACTTCTGGTACTAGCTCTAATATCTGGATTTTCAAACGTGTATGCAAGTTATATTTGTCTAAACTGAAGTCCTCTATTATGTTTTAAAACCATTCCTTTTCTTCATCTCCCTAACTACCAGAACTGCCGTTGTTTGGACTTGTAAAAAAGAAAAAAGATACTGTTATTTGGTACCGATGCCTGAAGTCTCAGAGCCTGTTTTCAACCAATATATTATGATAGATATCTGAAAGAATTGCAAATTTTTTTGACTCCCAGTTGAATTCAAGTATTTGAGACGGCCTTAGGACCAAGTAATTCCAAAGATATGAAGGTGAAAAATATGATGAGAATTTTAAACTGCAAAAAAATTCCCAGTGGTAAATGAAAAGCTTACCCTTTCCAAATGAATGTTTTGCCCAGAGGTGGAGATTGGATTTTTAGTTTATGGGTTCTGAACCACAATCCTTTTTTCTTATTGGGGTCTGGATAAATTATTTATACATATCAAATGAATTTTTAATACAAACACAGGGTTTGAGCCTAAGCTATTGGGTTCTGCGCTGAACCCGTAACTGTAAAGGTGGCTCTGCCCCTGGTTTTTCCTGGTTCTTGTGATTAGTATCGATAAATTATATTGTTCATAGTTGTAACGAAACTGGACCCTTCATTTATATTCATGTTGTTTTCTGTTAGGAAGTGTGAAAGAGGGTCCTATTGTATTTTTAATGGTGAAAAGATTTGTAAGAGTAATAGCAACTCCAATGTGGAAATGAAGACACTATTTTGAGACAGATCATAGTAGAATCAATCATTTAGTATGAGATGAACTTTGTAGGCATTTGATTTTTGATTTTTTTATAAAAAAACTTTATTTGCATTTAATCCTGGAAACAAATTTCAAAAAACTTCTAATATTCTCAGTTTTCTCGGTGAATATTTGTAATACATTGTAGTCAATGGAGGTATCTAGCAACTTTTAAGAGAATTAGTTTGTACTTTTGTTATCTGGTTCTAGTGTACCTGACCAAATACAATTTGCTGAGGGATTTATTAAATTCTCATCTGTTTCCTATCCCCCATCTCCCACCTGGGAAAACCTTATGGTAGGCATTAACATAAAGTGCAAGATTCTATTAAATCATTTAATTTCCGAGGCTGTAAAAGTGGTCCCTGCATTCAAATCCTTGTTGATGCACAATCCTTCCCCACTTCTATCGATTCTTTTGATAACAATGAACAATACACAAGCTCCTACTAAAACATGTTCATGTATCTTTCTAAATGTTCAACACAATTTACTTGTCAGCTCTGCCGTGAAAATTGAATACGAGCACTATATTTGGCAATTCAATTTGTGAAAGATATCCTCTTCTTCTTATCCCTACCTATAGCATAGGTCCAGCTGTTTGCTTTGCTTACACTTTGGGTTTCTCTGGATGGCATAAGGACTTCTACTATCTTAACTAATGCCCTTATTGTGTCAAGGGTGTTGCGGAAGCCAAATGTATAGAGTGTGAATAAGTCACAACTACTATACCAAAAATTATGACAGCCACCAAATAATAAATAAGACAATAAAGCAATAATAAAGGGAACACCAGAATTTACGAGGTTCGGCTAATTCTGCCTACTCCTCGGACACAACCAAATATTTTATTCCACTCCAAAATACAAGTGAAATAATACTAAAGAGAGAAGATACAAATGCCTTAAACAGATGAGAAGGCAAATGAGAGATGTGTTTCAATCCTAAACATTAGGCCTTCTTTTATAGGGGAAAAATCCCCCCAAACTTAACTCCCAACCAATGTGGGACTTTGGCATTTTGCCAAACTTCAACAAAGGGTTCTGTCTTTATGCTGTATAGTCTCTTCATAAATCTGATTACTTGTGCAGTTAGCAGGTATACTCGTCGATACTGGAAATTTGACAAACCCACAGACTACAACAACGGATAAGTACATGACCACTTTGTTGATAAATGGAGCAGGTCGATTTGGATGTAACGGTCTTTATGAAATTTGTAGGTTATGCAGCTTTGATAGCCGTTATTCTTCACTATTCTAGGTTTCTAATTCCAGAGTGATCAGACTCAGCTCCCAATTACAACTTTGTCATTTTCAGTTAGATACAAATTGCATGATGCAACTGACCCCAAAGCAGGAGAAGTTTTACAAAAAGATATTAAAAGATTGTCAAAACCGGATGCAGCTGACCCCAGAGCAGAAGTTTTGCAAAAAGATATTAAAAAGTTGTCAAAGTCAGATGCAGCTGAGCCCAGAGCCGGAGAAGTTTTACAGAAAGATAATATAAATTTGTCAAAATCGGATGAAGCTGACCCCAGAGCAGGAGAAGTTTTACGGAAAGATATTAGAAGATGGTCAAAATCGGGTACTCATCTGCTTATCTTTGTCCTAATCACAGACCTTTCTATTTCAAATCCATGATTTATTAGCTTTCGTAGATGCTTTGTTCAAGTACGCCACTTTAAACTAGATGATTCATTTCTGTAGTAGGATATGAGCACAGATATATCGAACTGTAGTTCGTATTGGTATTCAAACTTATTTAAAGACCAAGGGCTAACAGGTGCTGAAATGTAACCCTGAAATTAGTTAATTAAAGTACACCTAGCTACAAATATGGATTACTAGATTTTCCATGCTCACACGTATCACTTCATCTTTTATGAGTGTTCCTAGAATGTGTAATTAGATTCTCAAACCTTTGGCTAGCCACAAAGTAATTTTATCTAAGCCAGATTCTGTTTTTTCTTTTTTCTTGACAAGTATTTGGCTAGCAATAACTCTTAGGAAGAAACTATAAGATGGTCTACAGGGTTCTGTCGAGTAAATTGATGCAATCATATTACGGTTAGAATTTACACACAGCTTGGATATTTGAGAAACTTCCTTGGAGTTTACATTCTTATTGGGCTCATTTCACACATTTTGAGGTCATGGACATGATATGCCTCATGCAATGTTTTTAGTGTATTATTTATGTGACTGACCTTCAGTGCTTGGGGCAGGGAAACCTGATGGTACAGGATCAAGAATGGGGACTTCAAATATTGGAATGAGTTCAGTCGGAATACCTATAGGGGAGCTCTTATCACATCACTCTACTTCAGCAGAAAACATAAGAAGTTTCCAGAGTAAGTAATTGATACTGCTCCTTTTCCAATTTGGAAGCATAAATATTTGAGTCAGTGACTAATCACAAGATAATTTTGATCATATCTCCAACTGTAGCTCTTTTTCATGTGATCCACTCAATCTGGCTCATCTTATTGACCACTGAGAGAAAATCCTCTAGCTAGCTGGCCAGTGTT